ACTACTCTGACATGAACATCAAAGATAGAAGTGGCACGGGCTCTACTGAACATCCGAGGGGGCCTGACTTTGAACATAACTTAATACAATATACACTACTCTGCCAGGAACCTCAAAAGATAGAAGTGGCACGGGCCTCTCTGAACATCCGAGGGGGCCTGACTTTGAACATAACTTAATACAATATACACTACTCTGCCAGGAAACTCAAAAGACAGAAGTGGCACGGGTCTCTCTGAACATCTGAGAGGGCCTGAATCTGTACATAACTTAATACAATATACACTACTCTGCCAGGAACCTCAAAAAATAAAGTGGCCCGGGCCTCTCTGAACATCTGAGAGGGCCTCACTCTGTACATCACTTAATACAATATACACTACTCATAAACTATAAATATTAATTTGTTAATCATAACTTAAATAAGTAGCATTTCATCTATTTCAACTGATTGAAGTTTTATTGCAGACAGGCATGACTAGAGCTGGTATTGAAAGATCTTGTCAGCAGTAACCTTCTACAGAAATAATGTATTTTTTTAAATATTATAATATATATAAGTAAACATAATATAAATACTGTATTCATATTAGCCATTACCTTTGGTGAAACTAAATACTTTGGAAACTATACAATATTATCCACCTTTAAATATTTATTCCTTGTAAATGTGTTCATTCGAAGAAGTACATTTATATATATATATATATATATATTTGCGATGATACGTGCAAGTCAATTGCTCGTCAATATATTGCACTTTTCAATATTATCGTAGGACAACTTGGTAACTAAAAATATATATTACACGATCTGCTTTATTTTGCTAAATATTCGAAAGTTAACGCATTTGTTCCTGCAAAGCAGGCAACAATGTGATTCTTTTATATGAAAGATATTTTGTTTTGATACCAAAATAATTTTTATTCATATTTTATTAGAAACGTTTGTTTGTTTGTCTTTCACACTAATCGTGCAAAACTACACAAGTGCTGCCTGTCCCTAATCTTGACCTGATCGATAAGATGAGGTTAACAAATTAACAGGTCCACCGCGAACTCTTAAGCTACTCTCGGCTAACAGAATAATGAGATTAGATCGTCAGAGTGAATCCACGGTCTAAAAGTGCTAAACGCATTTTTTTGTCGCAAACGGCCATAGCTTGTTTGTTTGTTTGTTTGAATTTCGCGCAAAGCTACACGGGGACTATCTGCGCTTGCCGTCCCTAATTTAGCAGTGTAAGACTAGAGGGAAGGCA